CTCTCACACACACACACACACACACACACACACACACACACACACCGCCAATTTTTTGCAGCAGCGCCACAAAAAACACGTGCTTCAAATCCGAATTTTGGGCGCAAGGGCGTGACAGAAAGATGCATGCTGCTCATGAGGGCATAGCGCACAGGGACCGGTGCAATCGGACTGCCCGTCCAGTGAGGGCACCGCAGAAAGCTGTGCCCCTTGCTGACAGGGGCATGCAGGAAAGTTCAGAGGCCCCAGGGGCACGACCGGGTAAGTGGTCCGTCGGAGGGGCGCGATGCAAAATAATGGAAATTACAAGGGCACCAGACAAATTTTCCCTTTTTTCCGGGCAGATTATGGCAAAAAAAAGTTTAATTGAGCGAAATAAAAAACGTCAAAGATTGGTAGAAAAGTATTTTCACCTCCGTCAATCCTTAAAGAAAGAAATGAATCAAACTTTATCTGTAGAAGAAAAGTGCGTCCCTCGCATTTGCCTGCTCGCCAGAGTCATTTTATAAGGATTCACTATGTTCGCTATGTGGACGACTTGCTGATTGGAGTCATCGGACCTAGAGCACTAGCCGATAGAATACGAAGTCCAGTGGCACGATTTCTCGAAGTAAGGCTTAGCCTTTGGCCCTTCTTTTCAAAGACGCTCATAACTCGACGAGCTAAAGGTTCCCACGGGCCGGCTTTTCTTGGGTTTCTTATCAGCTCCTCCAGGCTCTCCCACTTCATGGCCTTCGAATATCGACAAACATACAATGGGAAAAGTCGAATTGCAGGCATTCAACGAGCAGGTCACGTCACTTCACTCGTTGATATGTGGAAAGTGATTCACCGCCTGGCAACTTTAGGTAGGAGAACCGCCGGAATTGAGGGCTTGCCTATCAGGTTGCTCCATCGAAGGAGCAATTTCCCAATTCATGATCCTCTCCTGGCTCATCTACAAATGCATAAACTACAATTCCACGTTTGTCCATGTCCTACACTAAATCGAATAGCTTGCCTGAACGATATATATTGCAAGGCCCACTTTCTACCAGGCAATTAACGGACTGCACAAAGCTAACGCATCACACCACATATTGACACTCAAATTCCAACTTTGATGCTCTAGATTGTACCTCCTCCCTCAGGCTCCCTGACCAATCACACCTGGTATCCAAAACCAGTCTCGACCATGATCGTTCCACCAACCCAGATACCACAAGCAAAAAAGATCACTAACCTTCTTGTAATCTCCCTTACTACATTCCTCACGAGTCGTGACATCCCGAAAATAACAATCGACCTTAGATTAACCTCATTACTCGTACAAAAAACTTAAATTACTCACACGACCATAACACCATGATCGCATCCACCCAGAGGTCTCAGCATTGACCGATCTCAACTCCAGGGTGCCCAATGTCGTCCGACAACCCCCCTATCGTGCTAAAATACCCGTTTGCTCCGGTCCTTCCCCGTCCACACACGATCAAGCTTGCAGGGCCTTAAAACCTTGATCGGACACCACCTTTCCTGAATCAATCCCAATCGGTCCATCATCAGCCACCTGATCAATAATCAGCTCACCAAAGATCACATGCAAGCATGCGGAATTTCTGCAATCACAAATCCCCCCACTAAACATTCACACCACCCACCTTTCTTCCGATAGTACAGATATTGTTCATCATGGAAGGTCACTCACTTCACTAAAATGGAGGTCGCCTGTTTCAATGAATCGGACATCGTTTGCTGCCCTTTTCTTACTAGACCTCCTTGCCGAAACAAACGGCAGACCACTGCAACCATGTTTGTGCGTAGCACGGTTACGATGCTTGTCCAGCTCAGAGATATAGACAGGGGCCGAAAACTTTCATTGTGTGGGAGCATCATGAACAAAAAACATTATCATAGCCAAAGCACCAACACATGTCCTGGACCGCACTTCTTCATACAATCTCATTATCCTTTTTTTTTTTTTTTTAACTCACTATCCTCATTATTCCCAATGACTCGTGACAATCTACGTGCTGCCCAAAGGTGTTTCAACGCATGTCCACCCCGCGGGAGTCTTTATGGACAATTGGAACGGCTATTTCATGGCAGGACCCCTGGACGGGAGAGCTTATTGACAATTTATTAGGTTTCTATCACAGGGGACTTACAAGCAAATTCTCAACTGCCAAATGACAGCCTGTACAAAATGGCAAAAAAAACACGACAAACGTTGAAGGATTTTCGACAAAAGGGGGCTTTGGGGGGTGCACTTGCAAACAAATTCATAGAATTTGGGGGCTCCCTGGCCGGTGCTAGGGGTGCTGATAAGAGCAGGCACCACTTGGGGCCTTTATTGACAAAATTGAAAATTTTGAATTTTCACTTGAGGTCTACCATGAAACATTGCCAAGTGATTGCCCACCCTTAGACAGCTACTTCTTACCTTTTCTGAGGGCTCGATAAACTTAGTGGAATCGTCCATCTTCGTTCGAAGTCCTTCAGAATGATCGCCAGTTCCAGGTGGATGTTGCCTCCCATGCCAATGGACTGAACCTGGGAAGTGAAAGCGCTTTTTCTGTCGTGAACAAAACTAGGGTCCACAAGAGTTGGCATCATACCCGCGATGAACCCTGTTTCACATTTCATCATGCTTTTTCAGTGTTAATTTGTTTCCCCCCCTTGTCATAGTTTTCCAGAGTACGGGGATTGGCAGCAAGTACAACTATCGACTGTGCGCTTTTTTTTTTTTTTTTTTTTTTTCTGTTGACTGTGCGCTTTGGGACCCCTTGGAATTGGAACGATGCAGATAATGAAGATTATTAGCATGGCCCCTGTGTGCAAGGATGACATGCATAACCCGAGAAAAAATACTTTTTTCTTCTTTCTTTTCAAATAAAAGCCCAGGTTGTTGTAGACGCCAGATTCCAGGCACATGGTGGTCACTGCATCAGCCAGCCATTGGCTGTCCTGACAAATTGTTCCAGTTGTGAGACCGCCTCCCAACCCATCCTCTCATCATTCTCCCAGCACAACGCCTATTCCTTTTTTTTTTTTTTTTTTGAGAGAGAGAGGGA